GGAGCAAGGCGAGTGGACAAATCGCTCGCTTCACGAGGAGCAGCTTCTCGTGACCGAGCATAAACGGCTGCGGAACTACAGCTGAGCAGCAGCAGCAGCAGCAGCAGCAGGCTGTTGCGCCGTATTCGGCGAGATGGCTCGTTGTGCACCCGACGAGCCCTGCGTAGCTTCCTCGTCCAACTTTGGCAATTGGGCATCCCTCTCATCCACACCGAGCAAGCTTACTCCTTCCAGCTCAGCATCTGCCGGTGGGTTCTCGTCCGCCGCACCTGCTGCCGCGTGCGATGCCGAACTGCCCGCCGCCGTCTCCACACCCCCACCGCCCGTCGAGAGCAGATTGGAAGCCGAAGGAGCTGGATGAAGCTCTGCGCTCACTTGCACTTGAGCTTCGCCGGTCGTGCTGCTGCTCCTGCTGCTGCTGCTCGGGAGCAGAGGAGTAGATGATTGGGTGATGGACTGCGAGACGGGCTGCACACCGGGCGATGCGGCAGGCGCGCCAAGATCGACTTGTTCATCCACTTGCATCGCACCGCCGCCGCTCGCATCTCCGCTCGCTTGACCGATCCGATCATGAAGGTCCATTGTCGTATCTGCGCTCGTGTTGCCGTTATTGTGACTGTGCGCAGCTGCTTCTTCTTCTTCTGCTTCTGCCTGCACTTGGACTGCTTCTGCTTGGGCTTCTGCTTGGGCAAGCGCTTCTGCTTCTACAGCAGCTACTTCAGCCTGCGCTTCTTCACCTCTAGGTTCGTCTGCGCTTTCGGGAAAGGTGACAGTGTGTCCCGTATTGACCCATTTGAGCACCTTGTAGGACGAGCTGCTGCTGCTGCTGCTGCTATCCGCTCCTGCCGACGATGCCGCAGACGCGCGCTGTCTCCTCCAGACGCTGGATGGGGGGGCCGAGGGGGGACAGGCAGGCATATGAGCCAGCAGTAGGGGGGACGCAAACTCCTTGGACATGACGATGGCAACGCTGGTATGCCACGCTCGCTCGCTGGCTCGCGCACTCACACTACCGGCTCCCTGGGCAACTTTTTAGCCTCGCCATCCAGATTCGCCACGAACCTGCCTCCGTGTCTTTGCATGGTGAAGCAAGCGCTTGGAGGGGGGTTGGGAGGGCTTCAATCACGAATGGGCAAGTCGCGTGGTGCGATGCGATGACGTTTGGCGGGCGGGCCTCTTGCGCGCGGCTCTGAGGCGATCTCGGGAGGAGCGTGTGCAGCTGATGCGCCCAATTTGACCTCTTGACTCTTGAACTCACGACTCACACTGTGGTGCTCGTCATGCAAAGGGAGCAGCGAGAAGGATGAAGCGTGTCGCGTACGCGTACGCGTACGCGTACGTATCACACAAGGGTGGTGTCATCGGCGCGCCCGCCATGCAGGCTACCAAACAATCAAACAATCTTGAATGTGATCGGTCACGGTCACGTGTTATCGAGATGAAGACGTGCGCCTGATTCATGCCATGCATGCGCACGCGCACGAGAGGGCATGCATGCAGTCAGTCACGATCGAGTTGCTTTCCCGCGCGCCGCTCTCTGGTCCGGTAGCTGCATGCTTTGCATTCAGCATTCAATTCGATCGGGATGAGCCGGTGCAGCCGGGATGACGGAGCAAAGACGTGATAAGATTGACCGCGGGGGTTGGGGCAGGGCGGGCAGCTGCGGGGCCAGCAGGCGTACTGTATGGCATGCCTGAACGCGAAAAGTTTGATGCATGGCAGCAGGGAGGTAGGTGACCGACCGAATGAGCGTCGTCGAGCGTCCATTCATCAGATTCACACTCACGACTCACGACTCACGACTCGAGAGAGGTGCTCTGCTCTGTCTGGTATGAAGCAGGCGTGTTCGAATCACGTGAATGAAGAGGGGCTTCTCTGATGCACGCTGCTGCGCTAGCACTCGTGAGTCGTGACTCGCAGGCTTACAGTACAGCTGGTGCAAAAGGCAAAAGAGGGCCGGCCGATCGATGTCCTGCTTATTTGCCTTGCCTTGCCTTGCCTTGCCTTGCCTACCACCTTTCCCTTTCACGAGCATGCTCAAGTCGCGAGTCGCAGTCGAGGTGATTGCGATGGAGTGGATGATTCACGGGTGGTGACTGATCCCCAGGTCAAGCTATTTGAATTGAAAATCACGTGAATGCGAATCCGACTGTGATATCCCAAAGGCCACACACATAGCCACGAGTGTACGCGTGTGGAGGGACGGGGGATTGTTCATTTGGAGGGGCTCATTCACACTCTGACTCGTGATTGGAGAGGCCGGGGATGGATGCACCGGCAAACCGGCTGATTGACTCGGATCTGTTCTGTGATGACGCGCGCGTCGCGAGTCCGAGTGAAAGGTGTGTGTGGCTGGCTGCGTGTCTGCTGTGCCTGCTGTGTGCTGTTCACGCTTGTCTCTTTCTTCTGCCTGCCTGCCTGCCTGCCTGCCTGCCTGCCTGCCTGCCTGCCTGCCTGCCTGCCTGCCTGCCTCTTCTGGCACCGACAGGCATGACGTGCATGCATGTAGATCCCTCGCATCCACCCTTTCTTCTACCCAAAGCCAAGCTCGAGGAGCGCAACAGCCGCCCACCCTTTCTCTCTCTCTCAGTCTCTCTCTCTCTCTCACACACACACACACACACTTGCTCTCTCCTTCACCCCCATCATCACCTCGCACCTGGCTCTACGCACACCTCACGCGCTCAGACAAGGCTTGTGATCGAGTGACGCACTCTTTACACCTGCGCGCCTACAAGCTACCAAATGCACTCCATCGCCCTCGGACGCATCGCACGCTCTGCGCTTCGTCCGACCCTCCTGACATCCAGCACTGCTTCCTCACCAAAGACATTCTCAAACACTTCGACTTGCGCCATGCTATTAAAAGCGGACACTGTTGCGGGGGGCAAGGGACCTCTTTTGGCAGGTCAATCCAGCTTGCCCTCTCTTCCCGTTCCTCCGCTCGAACAGACTTTCAAAAAGTACCTGCGCACCACCGAACCTCACCTCAGTTCGGCCGAGTATGAAGCTACGAAAAAGGCGGTAGAGAGCGCGCTTTCCGGCTCAGATTCGAAAACGTTTGGCGAATTGCAAAAGAGGTTGCAAGCTCGTGCTGCGGACCCAAAGCAGGAAGGCAACTGGCTGGCTGCATGGTGGAACGAAGCAGCATACATGGGCTACAGAGATCCCGTGGTGCCCTACGTCTCTTACTTCTACGCTCACAAGGATGATAAGAACCGCAAGACCGGTGTGAGCCGCGCAGCCTCGCAGCTCAAAGCCATCCTAGCATTCCGGAAGTTGGTCGAGAGCGAAGAGCTGACGCCGGAAAAGACAAAGGCTGGACCAATGTGCAGCGCTTCTTACCCGTGGATGTTCAACTCTTGCAGACTGCCAGTCAAACCCGTGGACCAGGCCACCAAGGCCGATCCTCGCGAGAACAACCACGTAGTTGTGGCCCACAAGGGTCACTTTTATGAGTTTGAACTGGTCGTCGATGGTCAGGAACTCAGCGCGAGCGAGATCGAGAGGTGAGTCAACGCGATGAGTGGGACGACGGGTGTGTGAGTGAGATGGTGTCGCGATGCTGACACGTATGCCGTCACCACACTTTTGCAGCCAATTGCAAGCCGTCTTGGCCGAGAACGTCGAGGCAGCGGCAAAGCCCATCGGCGCCCTCACTTCGGACAACCGCGACAAGTGGGCGGATGCTAGAGAGGCGCTCCTTGCCGTAGGCAATGGTGGAGGCGCCAAGAACAAGGATGCGCTGGCGCGAATCGAGAGCGCAGTGATCGTCATAGCGCTCGACGAAGCGCCCGTGCGAACAATCGAGGAGGTGAGCAGCGGCACGACTCGAGAGCGCCGCCGTGCGCATGCTGACACACATCGTCACCTCTGGCAGCGTTCTTGGGCTCTTTGGTGGGGCGATGGCAAGAACCGCTTCTACGACAAGCAACAGCTGATCGTGTCGTCGAACGGAAAGAGCGGATACATGGGAGAGCACTCCACCATGGATGGTACGCCCACGCTGCGCATGAACGACTTTGTGCTCTCTGCCCTCGCTGCCAACAAGATCGATCTGGGCGCGACGGGTACGCGCGACTCTTTCCCCAAGCCAAAGAGATTGCAGTGGCAACTCGATGGCAACGTCGAGGCGCGCATCGAGGACTCGCTGAAAGCTTTCGAGGCGCTCAAGGCGAAGCACGATTTGGCCATCTTGGACTTTCAAGGATACGGCAAGGAGGCCATCAAAAAGTACAAGTGCAGCCCGGATGCTTGGGTGCAGATGGTCATCCAGTTGGCCTACTTTAAAATGTTTGGCAAACCCTGCCCCACGTACGAGTCTGCGCAGACGAGAAAGTTCAAGTTTGGGAGGACGGAAACGATTAGGAGTGCTAGCGCGGAGAGTTTGGCTTTCGTCAAGGCCATGGAGGCGGATGGTGTGAGCGACGAGGAGAGGGCGAAGCTCTTCCAAGCCGCTGTCAAGCAGCACTTGACGTACGCCAAGGAGGCGGCGGATGGACAAGGAGTGGACCGACACTTGTTTGGTCTCAAGAAGCTGCTAAAGGAAGGTGAAGCGCTGCCCGAGCTGTACAAGGACGCAGCGTACGCAAAGACGTCCAACTGGAACCTGTCCACCTCTCAAATCTCGAGCGAAAGCTTTGACGCGTGGGGTTATGGAGAAGTGGTGCCGGACGGCTTCGGATGCGCATACGCCATCAAATCGAATGCGCTCACTTTTACCCTCACTTCGCTCAAACTGGACGCTCCGGCGCTCAGACACTACATCAACGAGTCTGCGCTGGAGTTGAGAGACTTGCACGACCGATTGGCTGCAAAGAACTCTGGAGGCGCCAAGCTCTAGTCAAGTCGAGCCATGCGAACGCGTGCGCGTGCGCGTGCGCGTGGCACGTCTCGCTTCGACAGCTCACAAGTTCGCCCCCCAAGACGTGCGCATCTCTTTCTTTCTGCAACTCTCTCGATTGTTTATTGCCGCAACCCATTGTTTGCAATGCTATTTTGTCGCTTCTGGCGCGCCCCGCTCGCGTCGAGACGTGCACGGCGCGGACTTCTTGTCGATTGTTGGCGCCGGCGTACGCGCACGGACTTGCTGGGGGATAGTCATAGGTCGCTGAGCAGGAAGTTGTAAGCCCTTGAGATTTTGGGAATGAGGTCGGCGGAGAGTGTGTGAGTGTAAGAAGTGCACAGGGCGGCCGTTTGGTCGCGCGATTTCACGATTTGCTGTTGCGTGACGTCAGCGTCAGCGTCAGCATCAGCGACAGAGCGTTGCCGTTGCCGTTGCCGTTGCGCCGCGAGTCGTGAGCGACGAAGATGAGGATGAAGCCCGAGCGAAGTCGAATGCGCTCGCGACCCTTTTTGCGGCTTTTAGTGGTTGCGACCCACCCTCTCCGAGCTGCAGACTCGATGTTGAAGACGCAAAGGGACGCAAAAAGCCCCCCGCAAACCCCCGACACGCGGTGCATCCGCGACGATTTTTGGTAAGTTTGGTAGTCGATCTTTCAGATCATCGAAGCGCAAGTCAGTCGCTCGCGACGAGTGGCAAGACGAGCCCCGACCGAGGCCATTGCTGCTACATAGCTCTTACCCGCAGGACGAGGGGCGCTGCGGACATTTGTAGGAACAGGAGAATACGAATCCAACTCCGAAGGCTTGGCATGAAGCGAATAAGGCTTGGAGGGACGTGTAGCGCGGGGATGCAAAGCATTCACAATTGCTGGGGCGGAAGCGCTGGCTGCCTTGCCTGTCCTTGGCGAGCAAGCGCAATCGTCCGCTCACGAGTCGAGACGCAAGGGCGTGGGCCACGTTGTGAGCAAAGCTGTTCGACATTGAGCGCATCCATTCCATGCAATGCATCGACCAAGCGATCGACGCGCGAAGCCAACGGCCGTAGCAACAGAACAGCATCGACCAGCAGTCTGAAGCGTCAGCAGTCACGAGTCTTGATCAAATGTGAATGCAATGCGCTATGAAAAAGCCTGGCCGCGCGGCCGGTTCAGTACCGGCAATAATACAGTAATTGTGATTGAATGGAGCGGCAGATTTGTAACGCACACTCGACTAGCTTGCTCGATCGCCGCTGCTGCTGCTCCATGCACGCAATTCAAATTCAGTCGCAGAAGCAAATGCATGGAGAAGCAAGCCGCGGAAAGCAGTCGCGTATAAAACGCCGTGCTGTGTTCCTGCCTGCCGCGCCTGCGCTGCTATGCAGTCATGACTGAATCAAATGGAGGGAGGCATGGGCTCTGCTGCATGACGGCGAATCGGATGCTATATAGCTGGAACTCGACTGACTCGACTCGTGACTGTGTGTGTGTGTTCATGGCGGCGTTGCGGACCTCGAATCACAAAATGTCAAATTCTGGCTTTCCATTTGCGCCAGCGAAGTAGCAGCTACCTGTACCGACATCACTCGTAAGAGTCAGTAGTTCAGTCACGAGTAGAGAGGCGGGGCCGGGTAGGCTGGTGATGCTGGACGCGTCTGTAAATTAGATTCCAGTCGGGCTCGGGCGGGCCCTGCTCACTTTACGAACCTCAACGTTGTCGCAAGCTGAGGTTGAGCCGCTGCAATCGTGACCAGCGAGCGAGTAATGTGTATCATCGATGAACAGAAGAACGTTTGTTCTTCCGTCTTCGAAATGAAGGGAGGGGAAAGAGGAGCATGAACCGCTACAACATTCGGGAGTGCATTAGTAAGTAGGTGCTAGCGATGGGACTTGGGTTAGGGATGGGTACGCCGCGGAGCTGTACGGGTGTGTACCTTTGGGCGCCTCGCTCGCATTGGCAGGAAGCCAGCCGCATGCTGCTGTGGTGTAGGTGCGTGGGCGGTGTCCTAATGGAGCAAGATAGCCGGCCGGCCTGCCAGCCAGCCAGCAGCCATGCAGCGCTGCGAAGCGATGCGATGCGATGCGAGCTTACCCGTGCTTGGATGGTGGCGGGTGCTGGCTGCGCCGGACGACGGACGTCTGCTTGAATGCTGCCTACACGATCGAATACACGTTTGACTATGGAGGGCGCCGCTCAGGGCAGCCAAGCTCATCCAGCTATGGGCAAAACCCGTGCGGCAGCAGCAGCAGCTCTTGACCCCC